ATCCTTTACCAGTACTTTCTTTCAGATTTAAAAATCTACCAGCAAATGGTACATCTCCTGCACATTAGTGGCAGTGCTTCCTGAACACGTACAAGCAGCTGCACTCATCTATTTGGTGCGTGCCAGTATCGATGGTGCACGCACAATCCCACTAATTGTGTGTTTAAGAAACACAGCAAATACTGATTCTGTGATTAGCATCTGGAAATGTAAATCCTAAGAAGAAAACAGAAATTTCTAAACAATTACGTTCACTCACAGAATCCCGCTCTCTTATCCTTGCATTTTACAGTGCTTACAGTGCTTCTCACAAGCAGCATCTGCCCCCAACGGGGCACATAAATCCCTGAACTTGTGCACCCTTAGCCAAGAGTCTGCTATGAAACTGTAAGAACGAGGTGATTATTGTATCTCAGCAAGCCTTGGTTTCCTTTGGAAGAAAATGGAGAGGACTATGCCAGGAAAGAATTGTGCTGTGCTTCTGTCAGTCCTGTAGCTGGACTCTTGTTGGTTCCCAAACAGTGCTCTTTCAACATCATCTGGTTCAGCAGCCTTTCTAAGGTTTGTTTTAATTCTAAATTTCCTTAGCTTGTAATACTTCTTTGATGTTTTTAATACCTCCTTGTAACATTTTTACAGTTACTTGGATAATGGAATAAAAACACTTCCAGATATGAAAACAATCTGAGTACAACATTCTTGACTTTTTTTGGCCAGAGTTTGGTAATCAAAACAACAGTGGGCTCCATTCTTTGAAGGATTTCTCCCAGACACAGAAAATATCTCAATGCACCAAAGACAAGGTAGAGAAGTATGCCCAACTCAGTGACAAAGGGGAGACTATGGCAGCAACGTTTCATTGCATCATAAAGAGAATGATAGAATTCTTAGACTTGGAAGGGATCTCTGAAGGCCATCTAGTCCAACTCCCCTGCAGTGAACAGGGACACCACATCTACATCAGATTGCCCAGGGCCTTATCCAGCCTTGCCTTGAAAGTCTCCAGGGACATGGCATCAATCACATCACTAGGCAAAAAGTTCCAATGCCTTTTCACTCTCACTGTAAAAGATTTTTTCCTTATATCCAACCTAAATCTACACTCTTTGCGCTTGAAACCATCTCTCCTTGTTTTGTCACAACAGACCCTGCTAAAGTCTGTCTCATTTTTTCTTGTAGCTCCCCTTTAGATACTGAAAGGCTGCTCTCAAGTCAACTCACAGCCTTCTCTTCCCCAGGCTGAACAGCCCCAGCTCTCTCAGCCTGTCCTCATAGGAGAGGTGTTCCATTCCATGGATGACTTTTATGGCCCTTCTCTGGATGCGCTCCAACAGGTCCATGCCTCTCCTGCACTGAGGATTCCACTTCTGTATGCAGTACTCCAAGTGATGTCTCACCAGAGCAGAGTAGAGGGGCAGGTTCACCTCCCTTGCCCTGCTTGCCATGCATTTTTGACATAGACCAGAATACAGTTGGCTTTCTGGGCTGCAAGGGCACATTACTGGCTCATGTTTAGCTTCACATCCACCAGTACCCCCAGGTCTTTTTGGCAGGGCTGTGCTCAATTATTTCATTCTCTAGCTTCTAATGGTAGTGAGGGTTGCCTTGACCCAGATGCAAGACCTTGCACCTGGATTTGTTGAAAGTCATGAGGATCACCCGGGACCATTGCTTAAGCCTGTCTAGGTACCTCTGCACGACATCCCTTCTGGTGTGTTGACTGCACTCCACAGCTTGGTGGGGTATTTTCATAAGCAAACTTGTTGAGAGCGCACTCGACCCCACTGTTGATGCCATTGTTAAAGATATTAAAAAGTATCAGCCCCAGAACCAATCCCTGAGGGACATCACTTGTCACTGATCTCCATCCAGACACTGAGCCACTGATCACCACTCTCTGGACTTGATCCTGCAGCCAGTTCTTCATCCATCAAACAATCCACCCATCAAATCCATATCTTTCCAATTCTGGAGAGAAGGATGTTATGGGGTACTGTGTCAAAGGCCTTACTGAAGTCGAGATAGATGATGTCAGTGGCTCTTCCCTTGTCCATTGATGCAGTGACCACTGTACAGTGATGCATAGAAGACCACTAGGTTGGTTAAACAGGATTTGCCCTTGATGAAGCCATGCTGGTTCTCCCATATCACCTCTCTGCCTTCCATGTGCCTTAACGTAGCTTCCAGAAGGATCTGCTCTATGATCTTCCCTGGCACAGAGGTGAGACAGACAGGTTGGTAGTTCCTGGGATCATCCTTTTTACCCTTTTAAAAAACTGGTATCATGTTACCTTTTTTCTAGTCACCAGAGACTTCACCTGATTGCCACAACTTTTCAAATATCTTGGAGAGTGGCTTGACAACCACATCTTAGGACTCTGGGTTGCATCTCATCAGGATCCATAGACTTGAGGATGTTCAAGTTCCTCAGGTGGTCATGAACCTGATCTTTGCTTACAGTGAGAAGGATGTTGCTTTCCAGAACCCCTTCTACCAAGTCAAACATTTGAGGGCTGTGTGGTGACCATTTATCAGGAAAGACCAAGGTGAAAAAGTTGTTAAGTACTTCAAGCCTTCTCCTTGACTGTTGCTACCATCCTGCCTAGGGTACACCCTCCAGGATTTTTCTTTTCTGGTTGAGGTACCTGTAGAAACCCTTCTTGTTCTTCTTGACATCCCTAGCCAAGTTCAGATCAAGCTGGGCTTTGGCTTTCCTGACCCTATCTCTATACAGCTTAGCAGCTCCCTGAAACTCTTCCCACTATCATGGGAACACTACACTTTAGATACTACATGTGTCTAAAGCAAAGCAAAGGAAAAAAAAATATCCAGAAACCACAACAGGTGGGAATTACAATTTTTTGTGATTTAAAATATTTTTCTGTCTAAAATTAAGAACGATATCCGATGTTTTTCATAGCAGACAAAAGTGAGGACGCTTCAGCTGACGCATATAAAAGAGCCAGGTAAGTGAAAGGCTAATGTCACAAAACTGCTGGAGGAGGCAGTGATAGAGAGTATACTGCCCCTTTTTCATAGATCAACCAGGCAGTGTAGTTATTCACATGGGGTGAAGGGATTCAGACTGAATTTATTCCATTCTGCCTGATGTGAGCAGGCACACATATTCCACTCCCAAGACAAGACATTCCCCACTGCTGCAAAGCAGCCTGAAGAGTCCACCATTCTCTTCAGCTGATGCCATTCTATTTTGCATAAATAATTAAAATTCAAGTCTCGACTAACAAAGCCTCTCTGAAGAATGTATCCTTCCAACCTCCAGGCTGTCTCCTTCTTCCCAGTCCCTTTGTCCCAGGCTCAATGAATATTTTAACTGAGAGCAGCTACAACAGCAGAGGCCAATGGAGGTGCAGTTTGGGACTCTCTTACCAAGAGACTGTGGGTTCAGTCTCCTGCCCCAAACCAAGCAACAAATGTATTTGAACTTGCATCTTTCATCTCATCACTGAGCAGCTTAGCCAACAGAAGACAGCATGTTCTGGCCTACTTCTCTTCAAACTGTTCATAAAATTACCAGAGAATCCCTGCATCTGTCAGTCACCTATTCCAGACCAACACAGTAAAATTTACAAGAGACTTTCACAGAGATCTTTGTATCCGACTGGGGAAATACTACAAGAAATCCCAACAGCATTCAAGCATTTCTAAAAACTGTAGCAAAAACAAAAGTCAGACATGGGCTAAATTACTGTCATCTGTCTCCTCTAAGAAGTGCACTGTAGCACTGACACAAGCAACTCTCAGCTTGCAGGAGCAGCTGCAGGGACTAACAAGCTGGGTAGAAAAGTGGGAAGCAGACAGAGCTAGGGATTGAGTGGGTAGCCAGCTCTTAAAAGCATGAGAAGAGTCACTAGTGCAGATAACAAGAGGCAGTGCTTGAGCAGGAAATTGGTCCTAATACTTTAAACTGTGTTAGAAAGGTGAAGGCAACTCAACGTCCCATCCTTGGAGACAGGACCTCATATAAGCTGGTGAAATAACTCTTCAGACAGCCTTAGTGAACACCAGTTGCTACATTTCTCATAGAAGCAACTGGGCTTGGATTTGGTCTCACATGCTGCCCACCTGCCTGTGCTGGGCTGTGTTGAACTGATGCGGTGAAAGTAGGCATCATGAAACCCCTTGCTGGTCATACAGGCCGTTAGGAAATAGGTAAGAAAACTTAAGGCTCCTGAGAGGTTTGAGGGAATATTTTATTTGAGTGATGTGTACTTAAATCAAGGTGTCAAACACAGTGACTTGTATACACTCCATCAGTATGCACTGCAGTGCTTCACACAAACAAAACTCAAAAGCAAAATGGCTTTCCTTTTATGGTGTCTGCACCTATATCTTACATTTTTCATTCTACATGTATTCTTGCTACTAGCATCAGAGATAGAATTAAGTAAAATCATGGGTTTTTTTAATCATTGGAAGAAGGTTAAGATGTACTCAAAGACAGGGATGCTTCCATTAGTACCTGCTGTGCTACTTGCCTTCTTTGAATACACAGCTTTGAACAGGAACATTTAAAATATTCGTTAAAAACATATCATACTGTAATCTTTATATATCTCAGGCAATGTGTTTTCCAAGGATAAAGTGAGAAATTGACATTGCAGGCACCAAGGAAATGAATGCAAGAAAACAAATTTATTGTGAATAGACATTTTCAAGAGTGAAATAAAGGTGAAATACAGTGGTTTAGTAGAGATCTAAATAGCACACTACATTGCTGGCAATACTGTTTCAGCATGCATGAAACAAATGAAAAATGATGCAGGTCATATCTGAAAGACCAACATTAGTCAAATGCACACTACAAAATATTTCTGCAGAAATACTGTTCTGAGAGGCTCAGAACACAGCATACAAACTTGTTTTTTAGTTGTTATACCTTTTCCTTAATTCCTGAGGCACAGCAGCACCTCACATAATGCAGACACAGATTCACATACACTAAAAAAGAGCACATGTAACTGGGGTTTGGTACTCACCTCCTTCTCCTGACCCAGAGCCGTTATCTGAAAAGGAAACAGAAGGGGAGAGGAAAAAGAAAAAAAAAAAAGAAAGCAAATGAAAATATTGCTCCAGGAGCAGCTGTTTGTTAGCAACTTGTCACTGTAAAACATTGTGCAGGTGTTACATTTCATGAGCCAGCTGTAAAAACAAACATCTTGCATAAAGGCTGGCATCCTCTCGTAGGGTTTGTCATGGCCTATTGTGTCAGGACAGTTTTTATTCAAAGAGCAGCAATGCTTGATATTGAACAATTTTCTTAGCCTTTTTTCAACTGTGATAGCTTCAGAGTTGTTAAACCTAAAACAGATGAAGAGCATGGAGCCTGATTTTTTTTAAAAATCTGTTTACAAAGAAAAGTAGGTTTACCTTCAGCCCTCTAGCCCTGGAAATGGCACATGAAGGAGTAATGCATAAACCACTTGGCTGCAGAAGCAACTGATCCTGAAGGTAAAGTTGGTTTAGGTCATCTATCTATAAAATAGCTCTTTTCAAGTGAGCTAATCACTTTGTGTAAGGATGCTCTAACAGCATAATTATTTAATTGGCATTAGGCTGATTGGGTTAGCACCAGATGAGTGACTTTGCTTAGCTGCATCCCCTCTGCATTAACAGTTTGAGTACCTCATCACCACCCCTGGCCAACTCACTCCTTCAGAGCACTGTGGTGAGGGCACAGGGATGTGCATCCTACTGTCCTCAGCTGGTGCTGCTGTGAAGACAAGCCCTTTGGAGTCACAGATTTCCCTTGGTCTTTCTTTGCTTAAGGGAGGTGAGAGGAGAGGCTGGGATGGCAATCACTGCCAGCAAATTGCTCCTCTCCCTGGTTAACTTAGCCTTCTGGAAGATGAGGAGAGCTGCAGAGCACACGCAGCGCTCATCCCACACCCCTCCTTTCATGCCCTGTCTGATGGCAGAGGAGGTAGCTGAATCTACTCCCACAAATCCAAAAGAACAAGGAGAACAGGGAGAGGAGGGGGGTTTGTACTCCCACCTACAAGCTCATTGCTCACATCAGAGGAAGAGCCAAACCTCCATTTGTTCAGTTCCTCCCCCCCACCTCTTCTTTAAGCAGCTATCTTTCTAAGAATAATTCCCTCTAATGCGTGGAGGAAAGTGAGAAATTCCACGTTACTGGGTCACTTTGCACATTAAAAATAATCTCCTGTCACACAGAATGTCCGCAAGAGAGACTTTTCTTTTCCCTAGACTAAATTCTCCTTTCTTTCCTCCTCTACCACTATTTTGTGCCTAACAAACTGTGCTTAGTAACTTACAGAAATTAATGCAAAAACAGAAGGACTCCTGTTCCACCCGTAGTGACCCAATTTACTGACAAAGCAGACAATTCTGTATAAAATGTAAGTGTTGAATTGCTGAAAAGAATGCTTTATGATGTGTTATTGCTTCATTAAGAAACTTGAAGGAGTGTAATTTACTTATATAATGTATGTGCGTATGCTTCTTTGAAGTGGTGAAATTGCGTCCTGAGCTGTTTTAGGGGAGGGGATGCTGACCTACAAATATGAGAAAGCTCAGTGTGCAATTCTTATAAAATCCAAAGGCTAAAATGCCTCAGAGGAACCTGAGTTGCTCCACGCTTAAGTTGTTGGCCCTCACTCCCCAGCACACACCCAGCCCAAGGCAAGGAGCTATGAGAGCCATGTAAATGACAGAGGTGATGCTCAGCAGCTTTGGGCTGACCTGTGGGAAGTCTGCAAGCAACTCTGTGAAGAGCATCCTAGGAAAGGAATGGATACATTCTTTACTTGCTGGCCTTACAGATCTCAAGGTATCATTAAAATAAAAAAGTGGTATTCTGTATAATGTTTGGCATCATTTTTGAATGCTTCTCCCTGCTCTGGGTGGTATGTTAGCATGCCCATGTCCAGCGTGCTATACCAAACTGGTGTTCCTGTGTATTCCAGAGCCTTGGCTAGCTTCTCCCAAACATTGCTGGCTTTAAAAGCAGCATTTTCTACAGGCTTACTCAGATAGGCAGCCTTGTTCTTTTCAGGCCCTCAACCAATGCAGAATTTCCAAAGACAGTCTCCATGCTGCAGGAACTGGCAGGAAGAACACTCAAGCAAGAAAGCTGGAGAGAAGCACCATCCCACCATCTTCAGCTCAGTAATTAGAGAGACTCCCAGTGGTACCAGCTTTTAACTCCAACTACCATGAAAATTGAACCAGCTTCTTCCTTGTTTTTGGCACACGCTCCAAACAGAAGCACCAATGATCTGCTGACAGCTTTAGAACAAGCAGACCCTTCTACTGAACCACACGGCCCAGCAGTGCCTTCGGAGCAAACTCACCAAATCCTGCTTTCATAGGAGTATGCAAAGAATTGCCAAACAGTGGCACTTTTTTAACATCTGTATAAGAAAAATGTCAGTGGCTATTGTGTCATGGGCAGAACTAAATACCTCTTGACACATCAGAAGTAAAATCATATGCCATTCTCCAGGGGAAAAAAAAACAAAAATCTGATGTATTTGTGGAATTTGGGTACTGCAAGGATTAGCTGACTGTTGAGAAGAGATTTCCAGCATCTGAACTTTGGCACTCAGGAGTTATTATACCCTTTATACCCAAGTCCTGGATTTTCTCCTAAAGCTTTTGGGATATAGCTGGGTGTTAGGTGGGTGGCATGTGTTGTTTTTTTTTTTTAGCACAAAAACAGCATGTGCCACTTCCTTGCAATAAACAGATCTTGGTCACCAGCATTCCCAGAACTTCATTCCACAAATCCCAGATGATGTCAACTATTTTATTCAGTTGTTGTCAATTACTCATCCTATTAAGCCAAACTGGAAGAGAGAAAGGGCGACTGCTCTTTCTACAACAGTCCCCTGTTAGCTGGCAGCATGCAGTCTGGCTTTCCAGGCCAATACAGACCTGAGTGATAAGCAGCTCAGGAGGGACAGGGCAAACATTGTGCAGTTAACCCTGGTTACACAGGAGTACGTCTGGGTGAAGGAGCAGGTGAAATCAAGAACTTACTATAACTGATCAGTTAAGTCCCCAGGCTGCGATCCAAAGGCCAGCATTTCAGAAGACTTCTGAAACCATCATAGCCTGCTTAAAGCTGCCAACTAGAGTGAAACCCAATGCAGTGCCACCCCCAGGTTCCTGCTGCTGACCAAACACATGGGGACATTTGCTGTGCTGGGTGTCAATTCACCGCACGCACCTACCAGCTCAGACCTGCTCCTGCAGGGCTCCCATCCCCAGAAGCAGTGATTCTGCTAGCAATTACCCCTGGTTTTGAAATCAGCAGCAGCTTTTGGGAAGGAATGCTGACAAGTCTAATTGTCAGCAGCTGCAAGGCCCTCTCCTCCTCCCTCCCCCCACAGCTGGAGAGAAGCTGTTAATCTGTGCCTTGCCAGGCTGCACATAGGCAATACTGGTTTATCTGGATGTCTTCTGGGAAAAAACATTTGCTATCATTTGATTCTGGTGGCCATTCCTGATAAATTATGGCATGCAAAAGAAGTTCAGAATATTAAATTCTGGAATGTGTTGACATGGTTTGTGTAAGCTTTGTTCTTTACTTCCAAACCATTTCCTTTCCAATGACAGACAGTGATGCTGTGCTGTCACCAGCTCTCCTTGAAGGCTGGACAGGAAAGCTCCTGCATGGCACTGAAGCTAGGACTGTCTCAGTCAGGTGGGAAAATGCACGCATGTTTTTACAGCAGGTTTTCAGGTTTGTTACAGCTTTGTTGTAAAAGCATCAGCAGTTATTTTCCCATTTTCTGATTCTAGAAGTGAGCAGCCTTGAACTTCTTCCACATCTCCCTCAAAAGGATTAAACTGAACTCATTATATTTCTTTTCAGGACAATGTGTACATCTAATTATGCTTCATATTAAGTCTCTCACCAATAAATAAATGAATAAAATTCAGGGTAAGAGTTTGATTACTTCAGAATGAAGAATGAGAAGTTTAAGCCACTTCTAAGAGTATCACTCCTTAAATCTAAGAGAGCCATAATATCTGCAAATAACTTAGTTTTTAACTTCAGAAATCTCAACACAGAAAGCAATTGACTGTGCCTTCCAAACCATACAGTATGCTGTATGTATACCCTGTAAATGTCAAGGACTGCATTGTGTGGTTTCATTTTCATGTGCATATGATGCAAAATTGACAGCAGTCAAAATGCTGGCTTTGTGTATGGACTAACAGGAACACACATTGTTGGGAATAAATCATACAGGAGTATTTTGTATTCACTGAATTAATTTATTTTAAACCAATAAATAAATTCACTGACAGGAGACAGGCACCCTGACTGCCTCTTTCCCTTGCTTCTTAACCCCATTCTAGCAGGCCAGTTTGGGATAACCTCTTGTAGAGGAACCTCAGATAGCATAATCAACATCAGTGTAACACCATCCCCTATCAACTGCTGAAGGCCGTGACAGCAGCTAGGTGGCTGATGCTCTGAGACAGCAGCAGTCCTGGCATAGGCCTTGCCACCTCCCCATGCTCAGTGCTCCCATCCCTGCATTTGTCTGTAGCCTGAACTGCAGATGGGAAACTGATCAGAGAGAAATAAATAATCATAGAATCACCAGCTCAGCTGCCCATGGCCCCATCCAACCTGGCCTTGAGCACCTTCAGGGATGGGGAACCACAGCTTCTCTGGAAAACAATAAGGAAAAGCTGGGCTTGTGCTGTGTTCTAGTTCACAACACAATCCCACAATCAGCCATCCAGCTTTTGCTAGGAGAAGGCCACCAAAGCACGAAAAAAGCGGAGGAAAATGGGAAATGATCCCAAGAAGTACCCTTGTCAGGTCCCTCACATTACAGCCCTGTTACTTTCCACCTAGTCTCCAACTGGACAATGCCTTCGTTATGAATGCAGGTTAATTTGCTTGACTTTTAGCTAGCTTAAGGCTGCTTTAGGATATATTTAGGTATTAAGCAAAGAGAGCACTAAAGCTGCATTTCACTCATTTTTCCAGTATCTCTATTCTGCAATGTGAGTCTACATGTACTGGCCAAAAACTGTGGACCCTCATTATCCATAGCTTCTGCCAGGAGCGTTTAGGCATATAAAACTCTTTGTAAAACCAGATATTTGGCAAAAAAAAAAAAACAAAAAAAAACAAAAAAAAACCAACCAACCAAAAAAACAACCATCCCTACATAGAAAAATGGGCTTTTCAAATGTTGAGACCTCCATATGCAGTCCCCAAAGCTTCAGTCATACATTCTCTTATAATTCTCTTATAATTCTCTAAAATGTCATTTTAACATCAAAACCTGCATTCTATTCACTCCTTATGCACCTATGATTTTCTTTCTTTTTTTCAGTGGTGCTTTTTTTAGGATCTTGCCAATCTGATGGCTCCTAGACAAAGGAAATAAATATATAAATAAGCTGTTAAATCACCCATGACTGTGAAAAATTATTCACAGTGTTACCTGTCAAGAAATACATCTGATTAAATCATTCTGTGTACTGCGTTCCAGTGCTGTATTCTCAGAAGGTAGCAGACCCCAGCAAGCGGGAAGATTTTCATTCTTATATGAGCTTCAGAGCTCTCACGTACTTAAAATGAAATAGCTCTTACATAGCCACTGGGGGAATTCCTTGCTGTTGTCTTGTGTGCATCCCTCCAGGATAAAGCAGGCCTTTGCTTTGAAAAGCAGATTCTGATAGAAAAACAGTGAGTCTCTGCTTGGCTCCCAAAGACATCCCCAAACAGAAGGATTTTCACAGCAAAATCCAAGGCACTATGTGAAAAATAATGTGAACCTATAAAGGATTTTTCCATTCAGGCATTTTATCCTAGTATATATATATACATATATATATACAGAGAGAGAGGGAGAGGAATGTGCTACAGATCAAGAGTACACATACACTGACTCCACAATGACCTATTATCACCGGCAGGGAATAGGCTGGTTCCAGAGGATGGCTTTTATGATCCCATTTTCTCAGATCAATCAGAGTGTACCAGACACTCTGGGAGCTGGTAGAGCTGCACTGACTGGGCCACTGTAAGAGCAGTACAAAACCCAAATGGCATCCCTCGTTTCAGAAATGTTTTCAGTACTTTCCGCTCAATTGTGTCTCAGCACATCATGATGTATTACACTAAGTGCTAAAAATTACACTGCATTTCCTGGGCTTGAGGTGGGACATTAGAAAAAAGGAGAGAAAGGCTAAAAAAAAATCTCAGATTAGCAGAGCAATGTTGTAATTAGCTGCCAGCAACCTGAAGCTGAGAAGAACAAATTTTTCATTTCAAAATGTCTTTCTTAGTAAGTGGAGCAGAGTGCATATAAAATAAATAAATAAAAAAAGAAATCCACATAGTTCTCAGATGTTGTTAGTGGAATACTTGAATGCTCCAAAATGTTAATGGATCTTTTTTTTTTTTGCTATTTCTATGTCTTCTGGAGATAATTTACAGGTGGCAGATTGAGAAAGAAGGTAACATTCCATTAGTTTCCTGTGGTCTGCTGGAAGATTCATCTGCAGCTCAGCCAGGCACAAGATGCTATAGATCATTTTGGACCTTAGTAAATAAAACCGCATCTCAGTATAGGGCTGTGCTGCAGATGAAGGCATTAGAGCAGCCTATGAAAACACAGCCACCCTGCATTTAAACAAGCCAGCTCTGAGACCAGCAATAGAACAGTAGCAATGAACTTGGCCTAAGTAAACTGCCCAAATATCTCCCCTAGTTTCCAGACAGATGTTGCAGATATCAGCAAGATCAAGGCTGCTGCCTCTAAATTGTCACTAGTATCTATAATTGCCAATGCAAAGCTGGGCAGGAGTATGCACCTGATCCAAAGCCACACTTTGTGCTACCATGTAGATGTAATCTAGTCACTACTAGTAAGATGAGAGATGTCCCACAAGCTTTTGTTTGTTTCTGTGTTATATATGTATGAAAGTATGCAGCTGTTGATGTTGCTAAGCCATATAGTTTAATTCTGGACAGCCAGCCATCTGTTTGACCTCACCAGCTTTGAAATCTTACCAGGCGTTCAGAAGACCTCTGATACCTAAAGCTTCTATGTCCAACAGCATGTTGCAACATTCTAGACAGAGACAGTGAAAACTTGTCCTGTGTATTTTAAGTGTTGGAAAACCTGTTTTACATGCGTGGAAACACCAACCCACTAGAAATGTGAGGTACAATGATTTTGTAAGAGTTATGCATATCTTCAAGGTCATGACCAATGTGCAACTACTAAAGATGATGGTTTGTTTGCAAGTACAATGGCAGTTGGGATGATCAGAATCCGGCTTTGGATGTTACACTAATCCTGTACATCCAAAAATTGTACATCCTAAAGACATGAATAATCTAGAATCTGTTCAATTTCACTGTGAGCCTTTTGAATATCAAGGTTCCCCGATACATACATCGGAAGCACTCACACAGTATTTTCTAGATAAAGTACTTCTAGTTTCAGTGTTCATTTATTAACCTGTTAGGATACTAGAAAGTAAATCAGCTTTCTTCTCTATATTTCATTGTTAAAGAGGACTTGTGGTTTGCATGTAATTTCACTCAACAAAAAAGCATGAAAATGAAAATCTCTAGATTTATGGGAAAAACAAGAGCTGACCATAAACCATCGTTCATTGGTGACAAAGAATGTTTTACATACCAGAGTAACAAGGTCCCCTTGATACCATTGTTATCTCTCTCTGATGTTTGCAAGCAGCTCTCCTGAGGAAGCATTCATTTTGGTAAGTGTCTCCATTTGATCCACAAACAGGAATATAGTTTGTGTGACACTGAAAAAGAAATTACAAAGTAACTTAGTCACACAAAAGCACATGGATCATCTCAATTGCATGTTAATGTACAGGAAGAGAGATGTGTAAATATAAAGTTGCCAGCAGCAAATTATAATTCTTATCACTGAAGAAAAATTATTTCACTGTATATATTCCTTTCAGATCGCTGAAATAATAGCCCATCTCCATATGGACTAAGCATAGAAATTCAGCAGGAAAGATTAAAATAACTAAATAACTCTGGATCTCAGAAATGTCTAAAGGGAATATGACAAACATCTACAATCATTTGAAAGATAAAGGCATGGGACTCAAAGGGAACTCTGATCTTTTTGAGCAAAGAACAATCTTTCAAGGGAAATGGAAGACAATCACCATTAAATTCATGAGTATCATGAGTGTTATATATGGTCAACAACTATAATAATGCTTTTGTATAGCTGTACTGCCAAATTTTGAGTGCAAAGTCTAAAGCATCGGTACAATTTATAAGAAGAAAAGAAGAAAGGAAAATTGATCATTTGGAAAGGCTTTGGCAGGAGCAGCCTGTTTTTTGCTATTTTCTTACATTCTAAGAAAAATGGATTATATATCTTTTGTATGTATAACGTGTACAGAAATGCAGTGAAACAGACTAAAACAGCAAGTCTGCCAGTGCCTATGAGTGCCTACATACTACCTGCTGAACTGAGTATCCAAACCCCACCTCGCTGTTTGGAAGAAAACACATTGCCTTGTTGGGGCTTCAGTGGTAACTACAGTTCTAGACATCTTCTGCATCTTTAGAACTTCCAGGTAAAAAACCCAACCAAACAAAAACACCAAGAAACAATGAACAAAGACAGAGACTAGCTGCCAAATTTCTTAAACATGAAGTGTATTATCAAACTGAGAAAGTTCAGCCAGTGACAGAGAGTACACACAGAAATAACAATGTTAGTTAAGCTAAACTGCTCCAAAAAGACAGCAGCTTAGAGATACTATTAATTGTAAAGTTACTGTGTCGTATTTTAAGCATTCAGGTTTCTACCCTGAGGACAGAAAATTAGAGATAAAGTGATATCTTTTTTAATAGGTTGGTAATTCTTTAGTGAATTCTAAGATGCTAAGGTGCAAGATTTACTTGCTATCAATATTCCTTTTTCTGTCTTACTAAAGCAGTTACCCTATTAAGTCATTTGTGGTTGAACCATTCTTATTGAGATCCAAAAAGAACCCTGCACCATCTCTGATGCAGAACACAACTGTCATGTGTTGATGATTTTTTAATCCAGGCTTTGCAAAATGTCATCCAAACTGCAGCCAGAGACCTTTTCAGAAGTTTGGTAGATGTGTTCTCTCCCACCTCAGTTATAGTAAAAAAAGAGTTAACCTTTTTTATGACTAGGCCTGCTGAAAGTCAGGATATAACTAAGGTCAGTGCGAACAGAGCACAATGGCATCCTCCAGCACCTTTCCTGCAATCTAATCTGTACATTTGTTGCTGGAGAGTCAAGCTCCAGTATCTCACTTTACATTAGGTGACTTGTTGAGATAGAGAAAGCCCACAAGGTGTTCAGAGAGGTTACAGCCTGCAGTGCTCATGCTGCCATGCCAAGATATTGCAGTGACAACACTGAAATTTGGCAGCAAGTTGTTTCCGAAGGGGATCCTAGAACGAAAAGCTATGACTCATTAATATTTACAGTTTTGGAAGACCAAATAGTTAATAAATGCTGCCAGGCCAGGAATGGCCATACATGAGGAGGAAGAAAGAGTAAGAAAAAGGGAAAAGGAACTGAAGTCTCTATGCATTTTACTGAATACAAGGGACAGCCTTTACCAGCCTTAGCCTTAAAAACAGTCTAAGTGTAATAGCAATGCCTTTTTCTTCTCCAAAAGTGCCTGCACTCGGGCAGCCAGGGGTACCAAGGCCTGCAGCCCGCAGCCAGTGACAGTCCTGCCCTCCAACAGGAGAAGCCTCACCTGACCAGCAACGGACATGAGACTTTTAATTAGGCATCTCTCTTGCTAAAGTCAGTTTTCCTGAAAACTGCAGTTTGAGGAAGGAAAGAAATGTCTTACTGAATCAGACCAGTGGCCAATTTATCCAAATGCTCTCTCTTCAGTTGTGGGGAACAGGAAATTCTGTTCAGGGTTACATCTACATTTACGCCCTGTAGGCACCTTACAGCTGGCAGACCTGATTTCATCATGTGGCAAAGGGGAAAAAAAAACACGTTCTACAGCAATCACCAAATTACTCTGAAAGTATAGTCTGAAGTCTTCAGAAGTACACAGCTGCCAAGGTCCTACTGATCTCCATAGGATTTTGGGGTCGGCCTCTTCTCAAGTGTAACTAGCCATAGGACTAGAGGGAATGGCCCCAAGTTGCACCACTGGAGATTGGATATTAGGAAAGATTTCTTCTCCAAAAGAGTGATCAAGCTTTGGAATGGGCTGCCCAGAGAGGTGGAGGAGTCATCGTCCCTCGAGATGTTCAGGAAACATTTAGATGTGGCAATGAGGGACAAGGTTTAGCAGGGAAATACTGGTGGTAGGTGGATGGTTGGACTGGATAATCTTGGAGGTCTTTTCCAACCTTGGTGATTCTGTGATTTTGAAAGCAGGATTAGATCCTTGCTACTTCCTTCCAGTGTTGGTTTAGTTGAAGCATTGTACACAAATTTCTTCAATTCCTTCGCACAGTCTTGTGCTATCAGCAATAAAATTAGCTGGTCCTCATACAGATTTGAACACAGAGAATCCAACAGTTTGGGCTGAGTATTCATTGCCTGGGGTATTTTGGTGGACCTAGCTTCTGCTGAATAACCAAGGTTGAAATTTACACGAAGAATTAAACCTGTTATGCCTGAAAAATGTGACTCCTTCTTCTCATGATTAGACTTCTTTCCTTAAATATAGGATAAATTTTTCAAAAAGTACAAGTAAACTTATAATTAGCTTTAAAATAGCATTGGCTTTAAAAATGAGCTCCTAAGAAAAACTATCAGCTTATCACATGAGACAGCTACTTATTTTAGCCCTCCTGACCTGGATATTGGGAGGTTATAAAATTTACCACCTACAGAAAATAAATGAAAACTTTGCTTAGCGCCTAGGGTTGAATTTCTTTCCATTTTTAAAACCATTATTGGGTTTTGATTTTATTGTTTTTCATAAATAACAGTTACAGCAAAAATGAAGGCTGATGAATAAAATTCTTCTCCTAAGATTTTTTTCTCACTTTAAAAGGCAATCAGATCTCATTTTTTTTCTAGGGGATGTAAGCTGCAGGATGCCCTCAGTGTAGGTACCCAACTGAATGACATTACATCAAAAGCTAGCTCTGAAAGACCAGGATCCAAAACCAGTGTAAGATCACACACACACTGTTGCTATTCTGGTTCCCCTTGATTTATTGTTTATTGGAAACAGAACACAAAAATATTTTCAAAGCACTGAATGATAGCCCACTCTAGAGCTGGTTGGTAACACTGCTAACTCTTGTAGTTTTACCAGGAGTCTCAATATTTGATACTTTTGTCCTGGATATAAATCATGAATTTAAAGTATCTCATGAACATGCTCAGAGGGCTAGAGCACTTCTCCTAGGAAGAGCTGGGCTTGTTCAGCCTGGAGAAGATTCCAGACAGACCTCACTGTGGCCTTCCAGTACTTAAAAGGAGCGTATGAACAGGAGTGAGATCCAACTCTTTACATGGTCTGATAGTGACAGGACAAGTGAGAATGGTTTTAAACAAATTAGAGACAATCTAGATTAGATGTCAGGGGGAAATTTTTCACTCAAAAGGTTGTGAGGCCCTGGCACAGCTGCCCAGAGAAGCTGTGGTGCTCCATACTGGAGGGGCTCAAGGCCAGGTTGGATGGGGCCCTTGGCAGCTGAGCTGGTGGGGAGCAGCCCTACCCACGGCACGGGGTGGGGATGGGTGGGCTCTGGGGTCCCTTCCAACCCCAAACCATTCTGTTATTCTATGATTCATTCTATGATTATTCTCTTTTCTCTAAAATGTTCGGGGTAGGATTGCCATGATAGTCACAAGAAGTGTAAACAACAGGCACAAAAGTCAATGGAGCAAATTGAGCTTCTTATTCACGGTTTTTAAAGTTCATTTTTTTTTTTTTAAATAAATTCTCACCACCTTTTTGTTTTCCTGAGTGGGAATAATTCACTCAATAAGCTCATTTTCATTCAATAAACTTTATGACCACTGCTGGTGATCCTGTTACTATCTCATTTTCACTGCCCACTCAGTGTCAGAGTACATTTACATACCTTTGTCGTTTTTCCAGTTTGGACATAATTTAATTTAATTCTTATTATTGCTGTTGCTGTTATTATTTTCAGCCTGCGAGTATTAAAGGCCTGTGACTACCAAAAGAAGTAAATGAAATTTGGGGAGCGTGACTGGAGGCATCCCTTACCTATAATCCAGCTTTCAGTTGATTAGCAGACTGAGCTACAGTTGTGGTGCCAAGCTCACCATCTCCCCAGGCAAGAAGTATGGGAAGAAAAATAATCAAGTTGTCTCTGGATTTTCCAGAGTCTGACACAAAAGGCAAATGGAAAAGTGAGCGCTCCTTACCTGGAACTGACAGGCACATTTCAGGCCATCGCCCTCTTCCTTACACACTCCCCCGTATTTACACGACGATTCATCACACACTCTTACATCGGATTCTTTTACATTTAACTCTGTGAAAAAAAAACAGAAACAGAAATTGAAACAGGAGGACTTTAATTGAAGGAGGACTGTAGCCTCCTCCTCAGTGGCAGCTTCATCATATCAGTCAACAGCCACAGCTCAGCTCCGCTTCACCACACGAGGAGCAGTGCCAAAATCACACCGCACACCCTCTCTGCCAGGGATGCCTGAAAACAAAACACGGTGTGTTTAAACTATTCTAATTTGCTTGCACTATAGGAGGCAGAGTAATGAACCAGAGCCCTTCTGTCTTAGTTGCTGCACAAAGCTATGGAAGAAAATACAACTCCTGCCCCAGTAAGCTTGTAACAGTGGTACAACCAGCAAACTGGCTTGTGCTGCACAGGGGACCAAGAGGTTGACACATCAGCTGTGTAAGTTATATTTCCTAACACAACAGTTGCTTATACAGTGTCACATTTTTAAAGTGTACATTTTTTTGAAATATATATTTAATTTGAACCATATATAGGAGAAAGAAAAGTAGAAGGCAAGGGAGGGATAATGGAAGGAGTCAGTGTTAGCCCAAACGTGACCTCGTGGCCTCAGTGCAATGGTGCTGCTATTGCTATTGATGGCAATGAAAAGGGGAAAACAGTACCACATGCACTGAGAAAACCCACTGCAAATGTTTAAGAGTACACTGAATGACAGTCCTTAAAAGGATGTTCTGTGCTTGGGCTTGAGTCAGAAACCTGAACACTCTACAGCAACACAGCCCTCTAAGAGATTCAATGACAGCAGTAGTTTTTAAAACTATGCCTGTAACTTGTAATAATTGTAATAATTGTTCTCCACAGAGAGTTGGCTTAAACAAAACACTAATACCAGCCATTCATAACTGGTGAGATGTAGGTCAAAACCAGAAGAGAGTAATTTTCTCTGCCACTTGCAGTCTGAAATAGGAAGTCACCCTCCTGCTCACAGTGCTGACAAACACTTTGGTTTAGCAATAGCAGATACCATCCAAAACTGCTCCTGAGGGAATATATAGCATTATACATACCCCAAATAATTCATATTAATAAATATCTATTGCATAAAAATGTATCTCAAATGATACAACGTATAATGTATCTCCATATTTAACACAGTGCAACGGCGTACTTTTCCACAGATCTAAAGCTGCAGGGGTATTATAGCCCAACACACGTCCCAGTTGCAATCCCTATGTTTTGTTAACTGCAACAAAAGATTGAAAAACCATTGATTTTTTTTTTCATATACGTCCATCACTCCCAAAGACATAAACGAAGAGGGCAAGGCACGTAACACTGAGTAGCCAGATATCGTGGTTGCCATCACAACCCCGTGCACATGTTCTCTTTAATGTCACCATTTATCAAGTGTGATTGCTATGTTGTAGGACCCGAGTTAATGTGACAGAACATTGCAGCTTTTCAATTTAGTGTGTTCATAATTTGCTCCTGAAGGAAACGTGCATTTCTTTCTCCCTGTGAAGATCTGCTCTGTGAAGATGAACAAACTATCAAGATTAATTAAGAAGGAAATGATTGTCATATCTGAAAGAAGAATCCACTTTTTGGCGATACCAAGATACCTTTCAAAGAATGTACTTTATAAAAGGGAGTAACCAGGCTGACAAATTACAGTGCTAACAGCTTTTAAAATCCTCTTCTCAGGAGCTCAGACCCCTGAACAGATGGGGGCTCCCCACTCTTAACTCCACCCCTCTTTAATTGCGCTCACAGTACTCTGGTGCTACGCACTCTCCAACATTCCATATCAGTGGAAGCAGCCACTCGGCAGCTCTAAACTGTGCTTGAAATCCTGAGGTCTACACACTGACCAAGTGCCCTTGACCTTACTGAAGACTTTCCCCACTCTCTGTATTCTCCCACCATAAGTTACAAATCACAGCATGGCTGAGGCAGGCAGGTCCCAGCCCATCTCCAGCAGGGCCAACCAGAGCAGGGTTCCCAGGCCCATGGCCAGGTGGAGAGTCCAAGGAGGAAAGCCCACAGCCTCTGGGCAGCCTGGGCCAGCGCTCCAGCACCCACAAAGCACAAAAGTACTTCAGGTGTTTAGACAAAACCTCCTATATTCCAGTTCATGCCCATTACCTCCGGCATTGGGCACCGCTGAAAAAAGCCTGGCTCTCTGCACCTTCCCTTCAGGTATTCATGGACATGGATGAGATGGCTGCTCAAGGCTGAACATGCAAGGAATTCAGGATAAAACCAGAAGATAGAAAGATGGTGGTGGAGAATGATTCCTTGTAAGCTCCCCTCCTCCCCAAGAAACAGACTTCATTTTTTAAAAAGTACTCAGGAGGAGGAATGAAGATGACAGAAACAAAACAGTTATAACTCTGTCACTTAATTTTCTGAGCGGACTGCTTTTCTTTCTATATAAATCATAAATACTGATTACAAGCTTTTTGCATAAGCAATAAAGCCCTAGCAGGAAAAGTCACTCAGAGACTTGGAGGCAAAGTGATTTTCCAAAACCGTATAAAAGACAAGATACCCTGGTGACTGGCTCTTGAATGTGACAGATGAACTTTATTCTCATAGAATGGCATCTAATCCCTGCTTCCATTCAGCAGCAAATTCAAGCGGCAGTAAAATCAGAGCTCTGACATGTGTATGATTATACTCGACAAAATCACAAGCACTGAGAAGTGTGGTAGCCATAATGACTTCCACATCTACAGCGCTTTGCTCAAAAGTGAATAAATGAGAATGGATGTTAAGAGAGCGATGTGAAGAGGAGCAGTGGATGTCTCGCATGTCTGAAATAAGCTCTCTCTTGAATGGACTCCCCATGGAGAAAGAATTAAAATGGAGTTTCTGCGATTATTTCCAGAACAATGGAATGATTATCATCGTATGTGAGAATAGACCTGGAAATGGATGAAGATCACGCAGCAAATGGTCTAAGATAATTTCTGACATGTTTCCTTAATGCCTATTGCAACTCATTTCCTAGACTTTTAGCAGGTATAAATAAAAGGAAGCCTCACTGTGATTCATTACATACAGGGGAAATACTGTAAATAGAAATCTATCAGCTCCCAGGAGAAAATTAGCGCAATTAAATCAAGCTTCCAAATTTATGATAAAATTAATCTCCACAGACCTGAAATGAGGTATTACAAGTGACTTGCTGGTATCTGTTCAACCAGTACACTTCCAGGTGAGGTGAGAAGGGACCTGCGCAGAGCAGGCTGCAGGCATCTGGCTGCACCACATCCAGGTCTTTTTGGTGGTTTTTTTGTTTGGTTGTTTTTTTTCCTCCTCTTTTGAGAGAAATTTACTTTGTGACAATGTAACACATCAGTAAGAATAAGTAAAGCCTTTTCCATTTTGTCTCCTTTCAGAGAATTCAGAATACAGCTCAATACAAGTAGTTGCAGAATGGCTTTTTTCTGTGACCTCAAAGTGCACTGCTCTGAGGCACAAACCTCTAGCACCAAGCTAAATTACATGTGTCAAAATTCTGAACCTGAAGATGAAATCCAATTTGTAGTTTAAGTACACCACATATGTTTCTTCCATCTGGATGCCCAGAAAATAAAATAAAATCTAGGATGGGCAAATCCAGCAACTTCATAAGCAATTTGTTTTTTCAAATGGTTCTCCTGGGGTTGGCAGCTGCACATGGTGATGGTGAACGGATACAGGGAAACAGAGAACTCCTTTCTCACTTGGAAGTGAGTGTAGGTGGGGGGTACAGGCAGTGCTTCCAGCTTTAGCCTTTTGAGTACTTCATCCGAGGCAGGAAAAAGCTCTTGTTACCCCATTGATTAAACAAATGAAGTTTTCAGAACAGCTGGAGCATGTCAACATTTACCTGGAAAAGAGTGGCCAAAGGAGGAATCATGTTATGTGAGGGTACACTAAAGTCCACAAAGTATACTGGAAATAGTAGTTTCAGCATCACAGAAGAAAGTCAAAATCTGCAGTTCTACTACCTCCTTGGCCAGCCTTATGACTCTGGAATGGCTTCTCTGGGTGGTGATTTTGGCAAACTACTTAGGAATGATTAGAGTGTAATGGGGGGAAAAAAAAACAGCAAAGAAACAAAAAAGGACACTTTCCCCTTAGGGATTATGAAGGTGAGCTGTTCATGTGACAAGTACAGTAACAACCTGGGTTTTAAATCTAACTCTCAAACAAAGCTTTACCTGCCAGTCACATCCTTTATCCCACACCAAAGTTGACATTCAAGAGTCAAGCTTATACCTCAGATGTTGTTGTGTGCAGCTTGTCCACTGAAATCAAAAAGGGGACTTTGAGAGACATCACACAAATTTTGGATGCCCTTCAGATATCTTTGCTTGCCTGCAGCTGCCAGCTCAGAACAAAACAGCGCTGCTCTCCCGCAGATCCCACCAGTCCCATGCAGGTAGCATTATGTTATTCCCCATTTTACCAATAAATGCAAGTTACAGACATGTATGATGTAACTTGTTTCTATTTATCTCATTGTTGCTCTTCAGCTCCTTGCTGGTTCCTGCTTTGGAATGAGAGGTAATGGCCTTAAGTTGTGCCGTAAAAGATTCAGGTTGGGTATTAGGAAAAAAGTCTTCTCATAAAGAGCAGTGAGGCAATGGCACAGGCTGCCAAGGGAGGTGGTGGGGTCACCATCCTTGGAGATGTTCAAGAACCCTGTGGATGTGGCACTGAGGGATGTGGTCAGCATGGTGGGGATGGACTGGTGGTTGGACTTAAGGTGATCTTAGAGGTCCTTTCCAACTTTAATGGTTCTTTGATTCTATGATACTACACCTCCTACACCAATTCCACCCATTAGCTTGTTCTTACAGCTCATCCACTGCACTTTCTATGTGCCTCTCAAAACATCGCAGCAACATTCAAGAGGAAGCATGTTTCTGCTGCACAGGTTGAAATAGGAAATTTAAGGAGAAAAACAACTCTAGAACAGATATGACTGCAGAGACACTAAAAAAGCAAGGAGCAAGCCCTATCTATCTGAAAAGTAGAGATGCCTTTACTTGCATTTT